AATCGTCGGCCGGCACGTAGATGGGAGAGAAGAAGATGAAGAGTTGCGGTTGCTCAGTCGATTAAGAGGAAGGCGTGTGTTCCGATTTTTAGGCGAGGAAGGTTTTTAGGCGATGAAGGAGTCAATTTTTTTATTCAGGTTTTTTAATATAAGTGTTGCTTTAAAAGAATTTTCATAAAACAACAACGTTCAGAAAAAAATTCAACCCCAGCCAGGATCGAAGCTCTACCCCTTGGATCCCGCTACCAGGGGCTGCCGCCCCTGGACCCCCACCGTGAAATTTTTAAAGTTGTTGAACAAACATGAACTCCACACATCTTATTAATTAGCTAGGTTATTCCCTTTTTATAAGGTTTATTCAATTATTTGTATAATCTAATTAATTACGTAAATTAATTAAAACAAGCAATCGATTTATGACGAGTTGACGATATGCACTAATTAATAAAATCGCCAAAACTAATTAATGTCACTATTATAAATAAAATATACTCCCTCCGTCCTAGTGTATTTGTCGAGTTTGACTGTTTGAAGTCAAACTGGACAAATTTTGAGATTTAATTAAATAAAAACCGTAATGTATTTTAACATAAAAATAACTTTATTGGATTTATCATATTGAGAACTTTCAAAATTGTATTTCATTATGCTAATATATATGCATTATAAATTGAGAGTAATTGGAGTTCAAAGTTTGTCCAATTTGACTCAAAAAAGTCAAACTAGACAAATACACTAGGACGGAGGTAATATACAATAATACCAATTTACATAGCAATTCTATATAAAAAACAGCTAGGTGGCATAACGGTGACTATCTTATCTTATGAAATGTGAACATAAGTACGTTGGTCTAGTCAAATGTATTTTAATTTTAATTAAATCATATAACTCATTTTTTAGTTTCATTTACTTTTTTAAGGATTTTTCTAAAAATTACTTTTAGTTTCATATTTTTAGTTTCAATAACTTATTTTTAATAAAAAAAAGTTTAAAAACTGTAGTGAGCAATTTGCTACAGACACTCTGTTGCAACTACCTGTTGCAAAAATTTTACAATGGTAATCCATTGCAAATAAAATGCACCGGAAACATCGTTGCAGAAATCTGCTGCAAAAAACTTGCAACGAAAACTCTGTTCTAAAAATATGTTGCAATTACTCTGCAACAGAAAATGGTTGCACGAAACTATTGCGAATAATCTGCAACGAACACGTTGTTGCAGAAATCCGTTGCGAATACTCTGCAACGAAAACCCGTTGCAAAAATCTGTTGCATAACGTTCCCAGAAAATGGCGCCAACCTCCCGCCATAATTGCAACGCATTTTTTCACTTTCCGTTGCAAACAATCTGTTGCAAAAAAAATTCCATTGCAAATAAAATAACCGTTGCAATTCTGCTATGGAAATACGTCCGTTGCAATTTTTCGGTTGCAAAATCGATATTTTCTTGTACCAAAATGAATAAATAGTACAGTGATACTAAAAAAAATAAGTACCAAAATGTTGATAATATATAAATAGGGAGTATAAAAAATTCAAAGAAGCAACTCATCCAGTCAGATACCAAACGAGATGAAGAAAAAAACCTTTAGGTCTAGAATAGTACGAGTGATTAGAAACTGCAATATTCAGAACAGTTCACAGTACAGTACCCCACTACTCCATCTCCATAAATGTACAGTACCCACAAAGTCTTGTTTCTTTTAATTTTTATAGTTCCCAATGTACAGTACCCCCACTAGGCCACTACCCATTTATGTTTTCTAAAATAAATTTAGGCGTATAAACTACCCGACCCGACCCTTAAAGTCTTCTTCCTTTTACTTTTTAATGGGTTGTAAGTCGTAACCCGCGAGTAGCCGGCAATTACTCGTAAATCTTTTAATTAAGCCGACGAGAAGCAAATTCACTTCCTCGCCCGACCCGCATCGTATCTTCAAAGATCGAATCGTTCCTGAATTGGACGATTATACGATTGGAATCCACGTTTTTACCTTCAATTCCGGATCTTTGCTGCGATTCAGATCTTTCCAGGTAACCTGCCGCATTTTAATTGATGACAAGTCAAATTCTAGGCGGAAAAAGCTAGGCAACCAATTTGGCATCCCCAATATCTCACCCACACGCCTGGGCGTCGCCTAGGCGACGCCTTGATAACAATGCATACGAGGAAGTATTGACTATTGTACATAGGTTTTGTTCATCTTTTATTTTTTAAATGTGCTTTTTATTGTGGTTTTCATAAGGGAAGCAAATAACTTTCATACACATTGGGTTGACGCACTAACTTAGCACATCTCCTTCGAGGTATGTGAAATGTTTGAATACCATTTTTTGTTCTTCCTGAATTTAAATAAGCTTTATCATGCTATGAATTCAGCATCATGTCGTGCTTTTTGGGTTTAACAATCATGTTCTTTAATAGGCAACTTTTCTTTAAATTAATTTTTAAAAAATTTGATTGTGTTTAAAAGTATTTTATTATGCCATGAAAGTCAATATTAGTATAATTTTAAAAATTATATGAATTTATAGTTCCAATAATCATCCATATGTATGAAATCCACAAGAATAAGGCGATCAATTTCTATCAGAGTGAATTAGAGGAGCAAACTGCATATTGTAGAATTTTTTTGTATATTCCTACAGTCTCACACAACCATTACCATAGGTAAACCATGGGTTTGGGCGTAGACTACCCTTTTGAAGAAATCGTCTGATCCCTATTTTTCCTTTTCAATTTGAATAGAAAAAGTCAAATTGAAATCTGAATATGAAGGTTATGAACATGTATTTCAACAGTCACTTAACATGTTCTCTCATGACATTAAATAACCCTGGTTATTTCTCTTATCATAATCTTTTCATGAACACTCAATAATGTTGTGTGTTTCTGATAATACAATTCTACACTTAATTTGTTTTTCACTTATTTCAGTATTTCCCTATTCCAGATGTTCGAAGCTGTACAACAGGTCCTTGGCGTCCCATTTGGATCGTACTTTGAGGTGCGTGCTATGCTTGTTTTTAATCTCTATTTGTGTATTTGCTTAAAATTACATATTCTTTTGAGTTATTGTGGTTTACTAGCATCTAACTTTCATGGTTGTGCTTTGAGAACTGAAAATTCTCAAAATCTAGACAACAAGAATTTACAATTCAAAATGAAATACATTTGGCCAGTCTTTTCCATAGTTGATTCATGAACACATTGGAGTTAAGATTAAGATCTGGATGACCTTGAAGGGGCATACAAATTGTAAGATTGTACAACACACATGTAGATATTGATTGTAAGGTGGGTAGGAGATGAAAGTTTTGAAGTGCAAAGTGAAAGTGCAGCACAAGATATTGTTGTGTGCATAAATTAAAAACAGAGGATGCGATAAACAAAGACAAAACTGCAGCATTGAAGAGCAAAGTCAAAGTGCAGCAAAAGACTTCTAAAGTCCCTTGTTCCTAGATAGCCACTATATTGGAAGAGTTTTCTTCTTTAAAGGTTTGCTTATTGCAATTCTTTGCTCCAAGTTAGAACTCTTGCTGATAATGACACGAGTTATCTTTTCCCTAAATAAGTGTAGTTTCATGCTGGATTGGGATCAATAAAATTTATATTTGGGAAATGGTAGTTCTCTTGTAACCTGCTGTATTGGCCGATTTATAATTTGTGATTTTTATGAAACCCGGTCTGTCTGCAGAATCACACACTTGTAGACTTCTTTGCTTGGTATGGTCACTAATTTATCTGCCTTTCTTTTGTATTTGTCCTGGTGAATGGAGTACAACAACAAATTGATGTATATGATTTCTTTTTGAGTCAATTCGACTTCATGCTCTGTTTTTTAGTAGAACCATTATAATTTTTGCAAGCTGTTTGACATCTTCTTGACAGAGGAATGAAGATCTCATTATAGTTCATGATCCTCTAGAATATGGAAACTGTCAATCATCTCAAATTGGGAGTAACAATGAGCTCTTTATAGCAAAACATTCAAATTGTGTCATGTTATGTGCATTTCTATCACCATCAGTATTCTTCCAATAATAATGACGTGCGACTGGCTGCAGATACCAAAGTATGGAGTATTCGAGAATGTGAACTCACTGAAGGATCTAGTAGAAATGCCACATTGGACACCTGAGAGGGATAGTAATCACAGTCCATAAACTGTTAGCTACTCAATTCCCAACTAACTTAGGCATGGCCTGTTCATATAAATCAATGGATGGGCCCACAGTAAGTCCAGTATTTTGCAAATGAAATGGCCAAGTAACTCCTTTAACTCTTAATACCAATGTTTTGAAAACCGGACCGGGCATCGACCCGGATGAGCAAGTGGGTCAAGGGCTAACTGGTCGAACCGGTCAACTCCGGGGTCAATGACCCGGTCAAATATATGTAAATAATAATATTTTATATTACTCCGTATATTATTAGATGCCATATATAGTAAATAAAAGTATTTTAATTTATATTTTTTTTTACTTCTACATCTAGATTTTAGTTTCATTGAACATATACTCCATATATTTTACATGTTTTGTTTTTATTCTATTATATTTCCATTATTATTACGGACTACAAGTTAGTAGTGAATATCGTAGAAGTACTCGTTTTCAAAAATATAAAGACTACATATTATTTTCTTATATACTCCGGGTACTATTGACATTTTAAAACTTATATTTAGTTGATTAAAATTTTTTAAAAATAAAAAATGAAATACATTAAATTATTATCAATATTTTAAAGAAGAAAATACTCTGTAATTTTTTAAATATAGGTTTTATTATTACTTAAATAAAAAATAAATAATACCCCGGAGTACTAACTTTTAGCTTTGTACTAATCTAAAATTTCATAAAATAAATAAAGAGTAAATTATTGATAAACACATAGAGCGTTCTCTATATTTAATAATTAGGATTGTTTTTTGATTACTATGTACTATCTATATATTTTAAAGAAGTAATATATCCTGTGTTGCATGGACTAGGAAACAAGTTTAGCATTAGCTCAGGTGGATAAAGCCCACCGTAGTAGTCAATGGGGCAAGGGTTCGAAACCCAGCCTATGCAATTAATTTTTAATAAGTGTTTCATCTTAACCCAAGAACCAACCGATTCAAGCCAGGTCGCGCGGGTCGGCGGTTTTCCCGGTTCTGAACGGGTCAACTTGAAAACGGGTTTCAACAATGAACCGGACCGGACATGTGACTGGGTCACGGTTCAACCGGTTGGATCGGCCGACATGTCCGGTTCTAATAACACTGCTTAATACTAAGACATCTGATTTTTTTGAAACCGACAGCCTATGCAATTAATTTTTAATAAGTGTTTCATCTTAACCCAAGAACCAACCGATTCAAGCCAGGTCGCGCGGGTCGGCGGTTTTCCCGGTTCTGAACGGGTCAACTCGAAAACGGGTTTCAACAATGAACCGGACCGGACATGTGACTGGGTCACGGTTCAACCGGTTGGATCGGCCGACATGTCCGGTTCTAATAACACTGCTTAATACTAAGACATCTGATTTTTTTGAAACACAAGATAAAAAGAGAGAAAGAGTTTATGAATTAAAATTAAATGAAGAGTTTCAAATGGTATGCTCACTCTTCGAAATTGAACCAGTCTCTTTTAACTCTTAATACTAAGACTTCTGAATATTTTAAAACACAAGATAAAAAGAGAGAAGTGTTAAATATGGCAGATATATTACTCTTATTATTTAGAATATCTGGTTACCTTGTTTATCTAGACTTTACCTCCTCCCCGTGTATGTATAAATACCCCCATATATGATGAATAAAATACTCAGTTCACAACACGTTATCAGCACGCTCTACGTCCTGAAACCCTAATTTCTCAAAATATTTCTCTCAGCCGCCATTTTTTTTCTCCTCCGTCTCCAAACGCCATCCCATCATCTTCAACCTACGCCTCTGTTTGCCGCGGATGAGAACGGGAGGAGAATCGCTGGATCTTCGCCGAAGTCTACATCAATCAATTTGGGTTAATTTAATTTGTCAATTCGTTTGAGACCCGCACAGAGAGAAAAAGAACTAACTATTCAAAATTCCAGATCTTCTTCAGAAGTTTCGGATCTTCACTGTCCAGGTATCCTAATTTTATCAGATTCAACCTTTTTACACTGAAATATAGTATGCTCTACATATATTGATATATATATGCCATATCGTGGAATCTGACTTGTGTTTGGGTACTATTATCCCCTATTTTTTTTCTCTTCGAAATGATTTTTTTATGTGAACTGATTTTGAGGGAGGGATTGGTTGTGTATAACCCACGATTTTTCTTTGAGGAAATTGCCCTTTATTTTAATAAAGGAGGAGTTCTTTTATTTTACGCCTTTGCATATGTTGCTTCTGTTTTGAGGTTGAATTTGATTTTAAATCAAACACAGTAGCTGTTTAATACGAAGTATATCCAAAATCTCCTCTGAAATTGAAGGCTGAATTTTAAATATCACAGCCTTGACAATTCTCAATACACTTATACGAATAATCATGAAACTAAAGCATTTTAATAGCTGCAATTTTTTCTCTCTTTCTTTTCGACATGTGCAACTTTTAAATCTTATGCCATCCTAAAGCCAAATCAATAATCAAAATACTCCTCAAATTTTTGATAAATTTTCAACGTGCCATGCTGAGTATGTTACTTAAGTGCAGAAACGGTCCACTATATTGCTATAAATTTTGGGCAATGACCCCCACTATTTTTTTTTTTTCACTGAAAACTTCCAGTATGTTTTTCAAAGTGCATTTATTCCATGTGTGATCTATCTTTTACACGTGGATGCTTAAACATGATCATTTTATTTTGAATTTGAATGAATGATCACCAATCCTCATGATTTCATGCATATTGTTCAATTTCAACTTTTGGCATGCTCCTCTATATATGTCCAGGTCATTGATAATCCAGTAGATGGATGGCCTTTAAAATATACACTATGTATCTTTTCAAGAAAATGATGGGATGCAAAGCTATTTGTATAAAAAAAAAAAAATTACCCTACACCTTTTTTTCTAACACTAATGAAGGTGTATAATTTTTTTTAATGAGATATGACGGTTTTTGGCTGTGAAGATGTTCAAAGTCTTTTTTTCAAACTATTGAAATTTAACATAGAAAATCAACATGAAAGTTATATTTTTTTTCTCGAAAGAGAAAATGATGAACCATTAGTTCTTGGTCATATACCTATAAATCTTAAACGGTTGCATCTTAAGGTTGTGATTGTACACAAACATTAATACATGTGTTCATGTGAAAAAGAATAAATATTTTATTACTTGATCTCAAATGTGATAAATACTTTTGTTGATTCGTGTATATGAGAAATACAAAGTATATGACATATAAAAGAGGACTTCAATTGAAGTGTCAAATTTTATCCTCAAAGTAAATCAAATTTGATATTTATTCCAAAGTTCATAATCTCTCAAAGAGAATAACAAAATAGATATTTTTTTTAGACATGCATTATTTACCATTTTCCAGAAGTAAAATGGCCTAATGATTTTTTTTAAATAAATTGTTCAATGCATTTTATCCTCATGCAATGATATTATATTTTAATGTGGTATACTAAGTTGCATTAAAATTTGTGTGACCAATATATGTAATTGCATGTTATATGTGGTTTGAGATTACAAAAGAGTGTTTGAGAATCTAATTTCCTCTAAAGTGCTAGCAAAAAAAAACAATCCATACACTCAATACATGGTTACATTTTTTTTCCATTGTTAGGAAAGATTTTCTTTGAAAAAAAGTCATGCTATATATTCATTTCCTGAAGTGAGTGAAAAAAATTGATTGACATGCATGAATATGATAGCCTATCACAACTATTGTGGTTATACATATGGACACATCAAAGTCACTATTATGGCCACATAGAATTACATTTTTTTTAAAAAAAAACATTGATTATTTGGATCTGAATATTCCTGAAGAATATTGAATTCTGAAAAGAAATCATTAAGATGTATTATCTCCTAAATTAAATAAGAGTCATCATGTTCATCAAACACAATATATGGGTATATGAGATACCTAAGGTCTTATAATATTTAATTACCACCTGAAGTGGCTTATTTTTAGTTAAAAAAAAATCTCATCATACAGACACGTTTTGATATTTCAAGACCTTAATTCTAATCTATATATGATTCCTCATCAATATTCCTGAAGAATGATGTAGTAAATATATTATAATCAAAGGAGTGATTATACATGTTATATTTTTTTTAGATGAAAGAGATTCTTTTCTCTTGTAATTAAAGAAGTTAGTGTAAATATAATTTTCTTGCTATACAAAACTTATAGATAGCTCCAGAAGAGCATTGCAGAATAAGAGCTGCATAATAGAAGTAATAAAAGTCTCATAAATATTGAATATTTTGAGATGATAGTTATTATAGACAAATCCTTATTGTTTAAGGTGTCACTATTAATGTTTAAGATACCAGTGGAAATGAATATTACGTGGCACTTGATCGAGATTTTTTTATTCACGTAAACCAAAAGTTTATTGAACTAATTTTTTTATTTTAAACATAACCAATTAAATTATCACGATTTAGTTTGTGATGTGAAAAAAAAACATTAAGAACTCAAGTGAGTACTATTTGAAGGACTAGAAGTTTCTGTTATTACTAGGACCAGAAGATCCTATAGTCTTGTTCTCATTAGAAGATTATTATGAGATTATTACTAATGAAACTTGAGATTCATTTCATACATATTTAGAAATTGTTCAAGGATAATTGATTGGGCCCATCAACTATTCGTGATGACAATTTATATGTTTTATATAATGCATCGTTATATTTGTCATATTTGTTGACAATTAACTCGTAATCCGGAGTTTATGATATTTGTCCATATATTATATTATGGACACATTTTATAGGTTATGTTGAACATCATTAGTCACAAAAGAGCCTGCAGTTCTAGTTAATATGCAAAGTGCATCGAATTAGTGGCTATACTTTGATTATGAGAACAAATCATTTTATACTAGATTTTGAATCTTCATTTATGTGGTAAT